AAGAAATTTCCACTAGAACAATGTTGGATGTGATTAAGGATTTTAATATGAAGGAGTTTATCGAATATTTGGGAAGAAAAGACTTAAAGCTCAAGAGTTTCACTTTAAAATTTTACATAAGAAAGAAATTGCCAGCTTTGACTTTCTGAAATTAACAAAAGAAAAATTTTGTAGTATTAGTTTTATGTTAGGCCCAGCAACAAGACTTACAAAATTCATTAAAAGTCTTAGCCAGAAGTTACAAAACTACTCCTTGCTTAAATCTCTTGATGACTTGAAGGAAATGTTATGTAAAAATAAGATCAATGGGAAAAATATAACAAGTATCAAACAATTTACTCCTGGTAGGTAATTAATTAATTTTTTAGAACTAACTAGTTGGCTATATTAAAGATGAGGGACGAAACTCAAAAAAGGCAATTAATAAACAGCCGAAACTATATTAAAACATAGTGAGGGGTACGACGAAACTCTGAAACCCGAAATTAGCCGAAACTATATTAAAAACATAGTAAAGGATATGACAAAATTATTTTGAAGGAGTTTCGGCTGGTATCTTTAGGCTATACTAATCTTATTTTTTTCCCTGCAGTTTTCGAGGATATCAATGATAATGATAAGGCCTTTAATCATTGCATGAAGAATACTATCCTAAAATTTTCAAACATGGAGACTATAACTGACACCAATGAGGTAATTCATTATGAATTTATTTTATCAATTCTTCATGCTTTCATCTTTATAGCTAAAAAAATCACCTTTCAAGATATATTCATAGTTTTACAAAAAGACGTTTCTGGTAAAGATGCAATGGGTTGAGTAAACTATATGATCAAAAGTTTGGAAGACCTTTTATATATTTGTTACTGAGGGGAAACCATATAATATTAAGATTGGATATACTCAAGTATGTTTACTACTCAGATCGTATTTTAGAGATTCAATAATATTAACATGTTTTATCTTTTAGAATCTGGTGCAACTTGAAAGTGCATTTCAGACAAATAAAAAGAAACAAACTATAGATCAGGCATTTGGAAATGATTATTTTAATTACATCTATGGTATTGTGACTACAGATACAGAGTGGCATTTTATTATATACACTCCAGATGGTATTTACTCTACAAGCGTTAGTAAGTATTAGATTAATCTTACAAAGTCATCTGTTAAAGAAAATCCTGAATTACTTTAAAGTAATGTAAAAAGAATAATTAGCATCATTGTTAGGTTATTGAAAGATTGTGCTAGTGTTGATAGTTTCCCAGCTAGGATTAAAAAATTTATTAAAAAATAATACGTAATATAGGTGTAGTTCCAAACTATGTATTTATTTTTTACATGTAATAATAAAAAATATTTTCTTGACAAAAGTGATCAGTGTAAATAATTGTTCATGAGCACGTGATTTTTTATTTTATTTAAATGCTTATTTACAGTATATAGTTTTATAGATCATGTCATTAGAGCTTGAATTATTGAGACAACACATTAGCGAGCTTGAGACTAAAAATGCTAAGATTTGGGTCAGAAATACTGAATTTCTAAAGCAGATTATGGAGAAAGATGCCAAGCTTGATGTTAAGAATACTGAACTCAAGTCTAAAGTCAGAGAGCTTGAGATCAGACTTGTAATATTGAAACAGAATGTTACTAAAGTAAATGGGCAATCACAGAATAAACAGAATAATAAGGAAGTGATAGCAAGTGTATTAGCTGTTGATATATCTGAATCTGTAATAGACCAGCAAAATGATATTAACACTAAGTCAATAGAAGATAAGGAAATAGGTGATTTTATTTCTGAAAAACCTGCTAACATATCTGATTCAGTTATAGCTCAGCCTAAACAGTGTAAACCCTTACAGATCAAAGAGGTGATCACTAAAGTGAACCATCAAGAGGAATTGTTAGAGAATAGGAAAACAGATATTTTCTTGAATGAGATGCATAAGAAAAAAGTTAGTAATGATATTAGGTAAAGGAAGTAGAAAAAAAAGCTTTAGGATGAATTGATTGTCCAGGAATCATCCCTAGCAATTAACACTAGTTGTATAACAGACCTCTTTATAACTAACACTGAACTTGTAACTCTATCAAAATAGGTAGTTAAAGAATCAATTCCAAAGGAATTATCTGCAGAGTCAGCGATGTCCTGTGAGTTGAAATTATCTTCTGAAAACAAGCAGAACACTCTGCCCAAAAAAAATTCTCTATAATCAGAAAGTAGAATAAGACTTAATATGCAAATTACTTAAATTTATTAGATATCATAATTCCATGTTCTTACCGAATTCTATCTCTAGCAAACATATTCCAGATGTTCAAGTTGATGCCAATCTATCTTCAGGTTTTTTAGCTCATTTATTTGATAAGGCTGAAAAAACCGGTCTGAAAAAAATATTATGATGGTATTATTATACTGAGGAATATAAAAAAAAGGTTGTAATCCTTAGTTCTGAAATAATATTAGCGAATAAATGGCAAGAACACATGAAATGGAGCTATATTTCCCTGGTAAAAAGAGAGAGTATTTGTATAAGATGACACAAAAGGCTAAAAATATCTATATATTATTTAAAGGAATAGAAATAGATAAAGTTAGAGTAGTTACACTTAGCGCTGATGTGATCTCTAGACTAACTGATATACAAATCCAGAATATAATAAATTTTTATACAACCAAATCTCAAAAATTGATTGGTGTAAACAATTATTTACACGTACGTGATCTACCAGCTGAGTTTGAATTGAAAAATTGGATACCAAAGTACCACCTATTCTATTAGCTCGTATCTCTAATAATTCTTTAGGTGATTTCTCTAAAATCAATCTAGCTAATTCGTCTAAAGCTAAGGTGAGTATATTATCTACAACTTCTTTTAGTCAGATAAATAAATCTAATAAAATTCGACTCCCAATTTCTATCTTATCTGAAGATCCTGAAGAGAAACAAAAACATATCATTGGGTTGGTATTAGAGCGTTTCCCTTCTTTATCTTTAAGCGATAGTAGTGAACATGGTAAACAGTTTAATCTTAATAGTTCAACGCTCTGTCTATTATGTAATGGGAATCATAAAAAAGAAAGTTTATGGAATGATATAAAAGCTGAATAGGATGCTGATAAATATTACGGAGAATGAACTTATTGTATCAAATACAAAAATCCTCTTAATTGTAGAATTCCAATAATATCTGTAAAAGTATAGAGGGTGAAAACTTCGTTATGTGAACTGATCACCTGAAATGCACAGAAGATATTCGGTAAAATTCTTAGAAAAAATAATTTATCACTTGATTTTTGCAGATCGATAGATCAGGCAAGCCCTAAACTATATTAATAGAATTCACAAATATAATACGAATATGCAATTAAAATTATATTGTATGGTATAACTTAGTCAATATTAATGCTAAGAAGATAAATTACTACCATTAGATTCCTCTCAGTTAGACGAATCTAATGGTATAAATTTCATTAAAATTGAATTACTGATTATTGAGATAATGGGGTATGTAGGATAAGTAAATTTGTAAAAATAAGCAATTTTTGGCAAAGTTTATATTTAAACTCTATGCAAACTCAAATGTGAGTTATATTTGTATAGTTCAGATTCTGATCAGGCTGTGTGATATAAGATTTTCCCATATAAGGCATTTTATTTGTATTTTTTTCTAACAAAAACCATATGTTAAATTATTTTTTCCGAAGGATTCCAAAGGATCACCAGCATACTTACAATATTGTAATATGAAGAAGTATCAGAGAAAAAAAAATACTGGAGACGAAACTCCCAGATAAGGCATTGTACAATTAAGGTGAGAATACTTATTTCACTCAGTTGTAGAAGTATATTTACAAGAAAGCGTTTTCAGAGCTGTAAAGTAATACCTAGCTAATATCTTTTCATTCCAGGGTTTGGAGGATTTCTTTAGCATCCTATTAAAACTAGATGGAATTCTTAATTTAAATTTATAACTTGGATAGAGAAATATTATCAACATTTTATTACATTTTTATTGAAGAATTTGCAGAAAAAAATTCTAATGCTATTAAAGAATTAAAAGAGATTTTTCAGAATCAAGTCAAATTTTTTATATCGATATTTTAATTAAATTTATTTCATTTAATAAATATTAAATATTTAAATTTTTTTTTAATTATTTTATATTTATTTAAATATCAAAATTAAAGTTTTTAATTTTTAGATTAATGTTAAATCTTGAATTTTTTAAAATAGGAAATCTGGCTATTACACCTTTTGTTGTTTCAAGAATTACACAAACAAAAGCTTTTTTACAAAATGGAACAAATAATCCACCATTTAGTATAGAAATGACACAATTATTATTTCATAGTCATCAAAATTATGAATATCTTACTCCAATTTTTTCTGAAGCTTTTAAATAGCATTAAAAAAATTTGAAAAACATGTAAATTTTCATTCTGCATTACCATTATTTAATGCTATTCAAGTTTTAATCCTCAATTTATTCAATCATTTCAAAATAGACATAATTTAGTTAATTTAATTAGTTATAATTTAATTACAAAATTTCAAAATCCTTCTAATTCTATTATAACTGAATAGGCAATTTATTGTGGTTTATCAGAAATTTTCGAGAATGGTGATTTAGATTTAAATCAATATTAGCGAATTTATCAAAAGTAGCGTTAATTTATATATAGTGGGAATTTTTTATATTATAATAATCAATAAAATTGAAATTTTATATTTTTACTATATAAAAAATTTTTTTTGCATATTTTGCGTTTTTGGTAATTTTAAAATACATAATTTTTAATTTTGCATTGTGGGCGTCTTCAGAATACTTAATAAAAATAAAAAGTGGAGGGTGTGACATAGGGTGAAATAATTTACTAAATCACGTGGGGTGAAAAATCTTGTGGTAAGAGATACTGTACGCGTAATCATGTGTTATAAAAAGTATTCCTTTCCCTTTTCGAGTTTTCTCTCTGTACATACATCTAGAAAAATGTCAGATTCATATTTGAATATTGCTGGTATGTTGCATCAAATTTTCGTTTTACTTGACATGGTCTTATAGTGGTATATTATTATTTAGAGGCATCTGAACAGTACTTTGAGTCAACTCCCGTAAAAGATTGGTCATATCTTGGATATCTCGAAGTTATGCAGCCTTACTTCAACGATTCTAAACTAAAGTCACTAAAATCGGTATGGAAGAGGCGATTTAATAAGCAATTGAAGGGAATAATAAAAAACATGGATGAGGAGAGGAGCGGAGCTGCATTAAATCTAATAAATCAGGTCTGTAAGCATTATATAGGTATTTAGTCACAAAAATCTCGCTACTATATATTACATCACGCAGGAGCAGATGACGCCCTGTGTGAACTCCCGGAGTAGGTGACGTCCTTGGTGCAATGTATATTAAGCTTCAGGAATCAAAACACGTCTAGAAATTGGTTATTGTAATAGTAATTATTCCTTATTTTTTTTTAGAAAAATTCAGAGGTCGTCGAATTTTGGGACCTTTTTGAGAAGAGGAGATCAATAAGACGGCAACAGGTATATGATTGGACATTTCCAATATTGAATCCTTCTAATACTATTATATGATTGTTAAACAGATCAGTACGAACGTCAATATACAGTTGAGTACATTAAAGTACATTAAGGGTTATGAGCAATGCATCTACCCACCAGGAGAATGAACTGGTAAGTCAGATAGGAATTTTGAGTAACGTGAATAAGTAATAATACATATTTTCTATTTTATAGAAACGTCAGAGTGATAACTATCTTGAGAGAGGAAAATCAAAATCAATTAAAACTAGCATTGAACAGTTGGATGGTGAGTTAAATTCGTGATTAATCATGAAAAATTTATGCAGGTTCTTATAAATAATTCCAATTAAAGAACAAAAGGATGATAACGAAGCAGGACCGTCAAGTGGAAAATGTAGTCAAAATGAGGTGCATGATTTTAATACATTGTTTGATATGCTATTGAGTATTGATACCATTTATTTATTTCTAACTTACCTTTATTACATTATCAGAATTCATCGTGTGAAATACAACAAAAGCATATTTAGAAAATATGAAAAAAAAATCCGAGTCATATTGGCCGTCTTATAAAAAATCATTCTGAGAAATTACGGAGGAAAGTAAATGGTGCTTATCTTCGAAAAGAAATGTGGAAGATGTTCTCTATACGTATGCAACAAAATTAAAAATTGAGAAACTGGTACATTCCTTTATCATCGACACAACAGATGGTAATATTAAGAATTTATTTAGCGAAGCTGAGTGGAAAGAAATTATGAACGTTAATAAGAAAACTGTACTGGCCATTGACAAGGATATTGGAACGCATTTGATGAGTTACAAAAATAAAACCCCCTCAGAAATGCGAGCACATATTATGAAACTGTGGTTAAATACGACATATAACATAGAAAATCATTTTGATTTTCAATACATTCATATGGTTTTTTTACATCTATTGGATGAATATGAGTCTCCGAAGAACCGATTGATGTAACCGCATGCGGAAGAGTAGTACGCAGTCAATATTTGGGGTATATTAATTGATAAAGCATTCTTAAATGTTCCAGATATAGATCTTGTCCGTGGCGAGATGTGTAGCGTTACATCAAGCAACCAAAGAAATGATGATGAGATGTACATGGTGAAAGGCAATAGAAAAGTACTGGGACTATATATGAAGTCGAAATGAAAACCCAAAAAGTCGAAATGTTTCGACTTTAGAGGTCAAAGTTGAAATGAAAAGTCGAAATGGTCGAAATTACGTCATATCACATGATTTTT